GTGTGTAGCTTTGAAAAGGATACAGCTGTATGGTAGATGAGGGCACGGGCTGCTGCTTAGAGAGTTCTCATTCAGTGAGAGCTATAAGTAGGGATAGCGTACAGATGAAAATTGATGCCGAAGGCAGAATGAAGTTATCCAAATTCCACCTAATGACCAAGACAATCAGTGCTGGGCTACTCAGAAGACTTTTGTTGAAGAGGTTAGATAAATAATAACCTTCAGTGAGAGATAGGAAGAAAGCCAAAAGAGAGGCATGCCACAGAAATGCAGACTAGGAAAATTGGAGGAAATGAAGTTGCCAACCTTTCCCCATGTACATGAATTTGGGACTACCACATGCCAGATGAGGCAAGCAAAGTAGTTAATCCAGAAAAGTGAAGAACATAAGTGTGAGAAAAAAAATCAGTGTGAAACTGGAGGTCTAATGTCCAAAGACACATCAAATGCAGCAAATGCAGGATAGAACAGATTAGGCTTTTTATTTTGGTTTTTCGAGACAGGGTTTCTCTGTGTAGCTTTGCGCCTTTCCTGGAACTCGCTTTGGAGACCAGGCTGGCCTCTAACTCACAGAGATCCGCCTGCCTCTGCCTCCCAAGTGCTGGGATTAAAGGCGTGTGCCACCACCACCCAGCTTTTTTTTTTTTTTTAATGACTCCTGAAGCCAGGATTAGTAGCAAAGTACAGAAATTTGACCAAAAAAACCCAGTTTAAGGAGAAAAACCTCTTCATTTTGTAAAAATTACTCAAAGATTAAGTAGGAGCCTCTGGAAAAAAATTTAGTACTACATTGATCCGAATGGTCTATGTGTAGACAACATATAGACCTCTCACCATCAATCAGCTGTACTTACAAAGCAGTGAATAATATATTGAATAAGATATAATTGGCAATATTAAGCAAGTTAATTAAGAGTGATCATTTTAATGATCCAATCTAATGTTCATTAAATAAACAAATGAGTGAATGCTGGACTAGGAAGAACTTTTGATTTTCAGTGGATGAAAATGTAATTATTTCTCAAAAACATTGCTAAAATGACTAAGGACAATAAAAACATGAGCTGACTATAGTAGCAGAAAAATACAGAACAATATTTATATTTCATTTAAAAGTAAAGGGTTTATCTTCCAATTCAGATTATATGATTCCATTTCTGTTGGCTTTTACCACCCATTTCTAAGGGTCATAAGTTTCACAGAAGGAAAGAAATTGCTAGTTGTAGATTTTTTTAATGATTCTGAGTTACTATGATTATAATTTTCTCCTGTTGTTGCCAGGGAGTCATAAATGTCACTACAAGTGTAATTTTTTGTTCTTATTTTGATTTTCATTGACAAAGCCTTTCCATTTCCAGCCACTTAGTGTCACCCTATTACAACCCAAATTATAGTCTAAATTACAAAGACAAAGTGTTCATTCCCTCAGCCACAGTGGAACTGCAAACTCATGGAGTAGGAACTGCTCCCTGGAGCATTGACGAGCCAACCTTTGCTTTCCTTTTGCACTAATCATTCATAAGAATTTCTGGCAAAATCAGGTGATAAGAAAATAAATGTTTTACGTCTTGGACACTTCGTTTCATTTATATTCTAAAGTCTATTTAATCAAACTAGCTACTAGTATGTTTAACATCTGAATAAATGCTAAGTGATTCTATGATTGATTATAAATTCTGTTCAATAATCATTAATAATATTTGAAGTATCTACAGCTACTTTCTGGTTAAGATGTTAATAATGGCAAGCCCTTCACTTGGCATTTTCTTCAGCCTGAACCATAACCAGATAAGATACTGATAAAATATCCCCTGAACAGTTTCTTTCATAAAGGTAAAAACATGCCTGATTTCTTTATTCTGATAATACAAGCCCCTGTGAGCTGCCCCTATACCCCTGCTCATAGCTACACGATAACCTTTGGATCCAATCCTCAAACAGTCTTACATATCTTGACTTTGTTTCAATTCTTTGCTTTATGTGTACTTCAGAATTCATCTCCAACATCTTTTCTACAAAATCTGCTGTGAAATACATGTAACACTTAAAACATTCACTATCTAGTCCCCAGGCTTCTCTGATTACTATTTCCTAAGATCTCTTGATCCTCGGGATCTGGTATACACTGGAAACCAAAAGGCCTGTAAATCTCAATAGAGAGAACATCCCACATTTCCTTGGAGAAGCAAATGATGGCCTCTGTGTGTGTCCCACATGTGAGAGTCAGTAAGTTGATGATAAAGAGAGAATGTTTTGTTACACACACTGCTGGCAGACAGTCCTCTGTGCTGCACATTCTGTATCTGCTCTCCTCACCACAGGAATGTTGGCAAATTGTGTAAGTTCCATGATGGTATTTACCCCACATGGATAAGGAATGGCTCCATGCAGATCAGTTACAGAAAAGCCCAGGTGAATCAGCCTGGAAAAGTTCCACAGCCCAGTGGTGGAAACTCGGGACACAGAAAGCATAGCTAAAATGGCCTGCTTGAATCAGAAAACCATTGACCATTTAGGTTAATTTGGAATGTAGAAACAAAATATGTTTCCCAGAGTTGTGTGTTATCCACAATCCAAGGAGAGCCAGTTTCCTAATAAGAGATGTGAACAGCAAGTCATATGTACCATGTATTAACTATCATGTAAAAAAAAAATAATATAGTTAAATGCTAAACTCATCCATTATCTCTTCTAGTTTTGAAATAACAAAATAGCTCTGAAATTGTTTTAACATTTTTTAAAGTTTGTGAGGAGAAATGAACACCAACATTCCAACTGGATTTAGAGAGGGAAGCAACATGATATGGAAGTGAAAAACTAAAAGCAGAATCCCTCATGTATTCACAAAGGTTTTTGTAGTGTTTTATAAAATCGATTTAAGAATTGAGAATCCTATACTTCAAATATTTGGTCAGAAAAGAAACTCTACTGAAATCTGTGCAAGGAACTGCAAGTTACAGTTTATTATCTGTTATATAATATGTACTACATCAATGTTTTTCCAATGGCTTTGGAAACATAACTAGAATGCATTATTTTTCAGGAATTCAATGATGTCCTGAGTAAATAAACCAACTTCTCCTCTTACACACATCCAGACTAAGCATGGCTTGTCAATTATTACCATAACCATCTGCACTTAAAGCAAATGTTTAACTCTAAGTTATGTCAAAGCACTTTTCAAAGGGGTATAATTTGTGTTAAATCTGCAGAGGACTACATTTAACGGTTCATTTCAGACATGGTCTCTTAGTAGCTGGTACAATCTAGTAATGAGTGTAGAACAAACCAATGTCAAGTTTTTCCACTCAAAATGCAATAGACACACTGTGTCCCCAACCTGCTATTTGATTCATCTACATGGTTTTCCTCTGAAGTGGCCTGATCTGCTTCTTCTATTTATACTTCAACTTGATCTGTTTGACACCTTCTCATATTTATATAGAATTAGCTTAATAAAACTTCAGCAAAAGTGATCTAAAATTGAAGCCCATTTTTGCCCTCTCACATCAACTGGACTGTGACGTCACAGCAGGAGGACATCTTCCTCCTGTCTCCCAATTTCTAGGACAGTACACTAACAATCAACCAAGTAGTTAATGTAATCACCAAATGTTTCTGACTGTCTACTGCGTAGAGAGCACTATTCAAGGTACTTCAGAGACGTAGTGAGTAAAACAAGAAAACACCTCTTTGTCAAGTTTCCACTCCAGAGGGTGGAGAAAGACAATGAAGAATTGTCATTCATTTGGTATTGTGACTTGGTATTTAAAAAAAAAAAAAAAATCTCTGAACAATAAGGCCCACAGAACAAATCAGGAGTATTGGCTGGGATATTGTTGTGGTGTCACACAGAGTGAGAAGAAAATGTTAGCGGATAATGCAATGCCACAGCAAAAGAGGCCAGGGAGTGAGTGGCCTTGATACACGAGGGGATGCTTTTCCAAAAACAAGAAAAGAGAGAATCCAGTCTGTTTGTGAGGCAGGAGCATACCAGTGATATTGAAAGAAAGTGAAAAACCCAAACCAAAGATTAATAACTATTTCAACACTTGCCTAAGCAGCAACCTGTGTCCTAAAATTAGAATGGTTGCAGGGGGCGTGTAAGGATGACTCCCACATTCATAAAGCATTCCATTAAAAGATACATAACTGATTTACTGTTACAGTTAGTGTTGTCTTCAGTCATGATCTCTCACCTCCTAGAGCCTCACTCTGATCCCTCACTTTCCATGAAGTAAGCAAATGACCGCTTCTTTTTGGTTGTTTGGACCTTCTTTATACATGCCACACACACTCATACCTTTTATTTATTCTCACTTAATCCTTTGAATTTCAGTCCTTAGCCCTTTTGAACAGCTGGATTCTATGACCTTTAAGGACAAACATCAATATGACTTCTGAGCTTCAGGGAATTGGGGCTCTTGCTAGGCTCAGGATCCAACAATAGTTTTCATAGTCAATAGTCGCCATCCGTTTGGGCAGTGTTTCAATCTCTGTAGCAAAGAGAAGGCCCAGGGAAATGAAACCGAACAGACAAATGTGTAGTGCCCGTGCTCTTGTTACAAACTTAAAGATCTAAGGCTCACCGTGCAAGTACTCAGGAAATCCAAAGTGCTCAGTTTCATCTGTTATTGCAATAGCAATATTTATCCTTTTCCTTCTCTTCAGTCCTTCTTGGGAGTTTTGCTTCCTCGGATCCTTACATTCAGATGTAAGTGTGTGTGAACCTAAGTGACCCCATTAGTAGCAAAATCAATTGTCCAAGTTCAACTAGAGTTTCCTGTCATTCTAACACGTGTCCATGCTCATAAGCACAGTTAAAGAGATGTTTTAAATGACACAACACAAATAGTAAAAATCCTGTGGGTGGCTGCTGTGGGATGGTCTGTATGTCAAAATTGCTCTGATTGGTCAAGAAATAAAACACTGATTGGCCAGTGGCCAGGCAGGAAGTAGGCGGGACAAGGAGAGGAGAATTCTGGGAAGTGGAAGGCTGAGTGGAGGAGACACCGCCAGTTGCTGCCATGACAAGCAGCATGTGAAGATGCCGGTAGGCCAGGAGCCACGTGGCAAGTTATAGATTTATAGGAATGGATTAATTTAAGATATAAGAACAGTTAGCAAGAAGCCTGCCATGGCCATACAGTTTGTAAGCAATATAAGTCTCTGTGTTTACTTGGTTGGGTCTGAGCGGCTGTGGGACTGGTGGGTGACAGATTTGTCCTGACTGTGGGCCAGGGAGGAAAGCTCTAGCTATAGGGGGCTGTTCTGTCCCTGTGCATTTCCTCATTGTGGTTTCATACAACTGTTATGGAAGATGATGCTGCTAGGGAAAACTGGGTGAAAAGGAAATGCAAGCTGCATACTAGCTCTTAAAACGGCGTATGGCTCTCCATTTACCTTCGAATAAATAGCCAAACAAGAATTCAGGTCAAATGTCATTCATCATCACCACTTTTCCCCCAAGACCACACAAGTGTGCTGATCCTTGGGAATCAATACATAGAGAAAGTACCATCTTAGGTCCACTGAATCATGTACACCTTCAGACCAGCCCAGAGAAGTCATAGAAGTAAATGCATGATAAACCGGGGGATGAAAGAAGTAATGAGCGTGATTTTTCTGCCAGCAGAAATGGAGCTGTGGTGCTTGCAGCATCACTGTGCCTGAAGATTGCATCTCCATTCAGTGGCTGTGCCTTTAGCCAGCCACCTGCTGCACAGTCATGTTATTAGACAAGAAGTATTTAATCCTCGCATTTGGTTAGTCATTGTCCCGGTTTCTAAGGCTAACCCAAGCATGCTGCCCTTGTCTCCATTCCATCTCTTTTCTCATCATCTGGCCTTCCCTTCCTTCCCAGCAATTCTTAAGATCATTGACTTCGCTGACGGAAGTCAGGCTTCTGACCGACTAATAAATAAGTTCACCAGTGAAAAGCCTATTTTTCATTCTGTTTAATTACAGGCTTCAAAGACACTCAAAATGGAGGCTGTCTTGGGCACAAATAATACTGTAGGCTTGGTTTACTTTCCTCCTGTTGGCCTTGGCACTGAGCCCTTCCTCTGCTTTGAAATTCATGGCTGTGTCTGTGTCTGCATACTAAACAGACCATGGCCACCACTGAGCCTGCTTCGCCTGTCCAGATGCAGCTCAAATAATCTAGAAGCCTTAATGGCCAGTTCAGAGCTGGAGTTTAGTTAACTAATATGATCCATTTGTTTCCAGTGTAATCTAAGTATGTGATCATAAATGGGTTCCTATAGAGTAGTTTGCATTGAATTTGTTAAACCTAGAGTGGGAGTTAGGCTGCAATGTGCTTCTGAATTCCAGATACCTGACTTCAGATTTGGCCCTTTGTATAGGAATGCATAAAACATTTGAATGGCATATAGACACTGCAAAAGATACACTTAGCAAACAGACAAGAAACTAATAGTGAAAAGAAGTTTCCCCTTCCACACTTCTTTTCTTACTGTCCCATTCTCATTTACAATCACTTTGAACAATTTATGCCACAAATTTTACATTGAGAAACACCCTAACTATGCCTTTCTTTTTGTATAAAAAATGCAACACGGTATAGGCAAAGTCCTAGAATTTATTTCTTTTGCTTAAAGATCGCACTTGAAGCTCTCTCTACATTATTTTCTGTATTCTGCCCACAGACTTAAAAACAAATTCCTGGAAATAACCACCACAGCCTCCAACTATTTTGTTCCATAGATGTAGCCATTTTGTATTTGATCGTGTTGATGGAAATTTGATGTTAGTAGACAGCATTGCAAATTACTATAAACCGTATATAGGTTTAAACAATTTAAAGGTATAGGACACATTCTACGAAGGTAAAGTCTTGGCCAAATGGTGCTCTTTAATTTAGTAGATAATGCCCAATAATTACTTTCTAGTATTTTAAATTACATATGAAAGGATGTTTCTCCATATCTATCACTTCTCATTGTATTTCCAATTTTTTTCCTTTTATTTTATTTTACAATACCATTCAGTTCTACATTTTAAACAAGCTAATCTGATCATTGTAGACTCAAGCCTGAGGTCAACAGCTACTCAAAATGTTATGTAGGAAAAGAAGTTCAAGGATGAGATTTGTAAAGCATCAAACATTGAAGCAATATTTCCAGGTAAGAGATTTTGTTTAAAAGGAGGAGGGAGGGAGGGAGGGAGGGAGGGAGGGAGGGAAGTAGAAATGAAGGAAGAAAGAAAAGAAAAGAAAGGAAAGAAAAGGAAAAGAAAAGAAAAGAAGAGAAGAGAAAAGAAAAAGACCTCATATGTTCCCTGGAATAAAAAATGTGCTTGAATGTTGAAAGTTATTCAAACAGCCAGCTGGCTTTACAGGTCAGCATTTAAAAGCCTTGACAAACAGTACCAGAGTTCTGACCGTAAACTCCTTGAGCTCTTAGTACCAGAGAGCATGAACCTAACATTCTGTCCCTGGATGCCCTTTATTGGTCACAGAGTCCATCATTAATGCATACTGCGGCAGGACACATAGCATAGAGCAGCTAACAGATTTTGGGAGAGTTCATCAGAGTGAGCAAGCCACTGTGTCTGGGCAGATCATTCCTTTGAGTATGTCAAGATCCAGTCCTTTCTGGGCCACTTCCAAAATCCCAACAGCAGGAAGCCTGTGTTTGCCACTGTTCCAGGTAACCATCAATACTTCTGGGAGCTTTCTGGGGTTCTCTACAGGCTTGATTTGCTGCGGGTTTGTCCTTTGTGTAACTCCGGCACATAAAAGATGTTCCCTTCCAGGTGTTGCTAGCATCTTGTGCGTTGTGTTATTTATTGCTCCAAGACTGAAAAACAAAACATTCAAGACCTTAGACTCATTTCTTTGTTATTTAGCTGCAATGCTGTGGAACTAAGTGATGCAATATATCCTTTACTTTACTTTGTTATGCTTTGGGATGTTTTTAAACTCAGCAGTGCTGTTGACACAGAGATGCTATGGCTATATTAATTTAGAAAAATATTTATCCATTTCTTCAACTCACCGGACTCTTGACAGTTTTTCAGTTCCAACTTCTTTAGAAAGAAGCATTTTAGGGTTTATGTGGTCACTCTGTGCCTGTATCTCTTTCTAACCAATAATGGCATTCTTGTGTCTCTGTTACTTGAATGTAATGCATCTGAAAGATTTAGGTCTACAGCGTATTAATCCCTCCTTTCACTATTTCATAACAACTTGGGAGACCAGCAGCTAATACATTGGCAGTTCAGTAGTAATAATGAGATATCATGCACTCCAGTAGGAGTACAGCAGAATGAGAAGACTAGGAGGTGACTGGAAAGGAAAATGCTGGCTTAATCTGTTTTATCTGCTAAGTGAGATTCCAAATGGTTGCATCTACTCATAAACCAAGTTTCTTTATAGACAGAATTTGAATGTTCATTTTCCTCTCGGTTAGTATGCAAATCTCTTTGCAGCATTCCAGCAGAAGAGAATGCAACTCATTTTCTGTGCTTATAAATTGTTCATTATCATGCTCTCTGATGGTCAATCCATTGCTCCATCTGGCATAAATACTAGGTGCTGAAAAAGGCACATTTGGGATCAAGGGGGAAACACAGACCCCATGCAAAAATCCAAAGACTATCACTTGAAATTTTGTAATATCTTACTTGTACTTGTATTTATATATGGTAGTCTGGAAAAGTAAAGGCTTCACCTGACCTCACCCACCCTCAAGGCTACGTGCGAGTAATGTTTGAAAAGTCTTCTCATTGTACAAAGGAATCTTAATTCATAGAGTTATGAATTAACACAGTCTCCAGAAAGAAACATCTCTTTTCTTGTGATTGTTGGTGTGAAATGTTGTAGCCTCCTCTAAGGTTCAACACTGAGAACTAAGATAATTTTGTTAGAATGCTTAGGGTTTGGGCCCCTCAAAGGTTATTTCTTTTTTCCTCTTTGATAAGGAGAAAATTTTATTTTATGAGTTTTTCCCAAACAGAAATATCATGTGACCGTAAATTAACCTCAGTGGTAAAGTCACCCCTTTTTTACATATGTTTAACTTCTGTTGATGCCAGCATGGTTGACTTCCCTTTCCCATGACTGGGAAAGTTTTTCCTTTGCATGAAAATAGTACTCAAATCATGACTCTCCTCCCTCTCACTAAAATATGAAAACAAAGAAATTCAAGGGTGTCCATGACTCTCTAGATCAAGCAAAATCTACAGAGAAAACAAAATACTGTTTTGATCCATCTCTTGGGATATGCAGAGGAATTTTAGTGGATCTCCTGCTCTTGCTGAGCTTAAGAATCTACCCAGAGAATTTTTTTCCCAATTAAACCTCTGTGTACCAACAATAAACTATGCTGCAGAGCTTTTAATTAAAAAAAAAAAGATGTAAAATCACACTGTCTCCAGGCACTGCTTTCATTAAAGGATTAGACCGATAAAATGTTTGGATTTTATTGTTCTAAATATGTGTTTCAGCTGGTGCTCTCAGATCTATCGTGTGAAGAAAATGAAATGTAAGTAAATAACAAGATATTTCATGTTTTTATTTAGCATTTGAAAACTACAAAGAATCAAACTCATTTGAAAAGCCCAAAGGTAAAAAAATATCATGATTTCTAAAAAAAAAAGGAAATGCTATTGCCATTATGATCACTTTGCTGAATAATAAAAATAATAGAGCTATCTGCAGGTGTGTAGGCTCTTGAGTTCTCCTACTATGAGGTTATGAGGTTGTTAGGCCACAGAAGAATTGTGATGTCCTCTTCCCTTGCCCCCACACTCATAAGTATGGCAATTTCAAGGAATGGTTTCAAAACAGTTCCTTTTCAAATACAACCAATGAACTCAGATCTTAGCCTGTGTTACGTGTGCATTTCAAAGGGCATCAGATGCAAATTATGTGAATAATTGATTCATCTCCTTACTTTTGGAGACTTAATGGTTCTCAGAATTCTGTTCAGGAGATGAGGAGGTGCCATTAATAATGCTGATGATGATGAATGGGAGCTGTAATGCAGTGTGGCTGAGTGCAAGTGTCAAAAAAGCACTTCTGCCAAGTGCTGTGTTCTGGGTGCAGCACTCTGCCAGCCAGCTGTTTTCAATTATCATGGCCTCATCCTCTCAAAGCCCTGTCTGTGGGCACTGCCTCTAAAGAAAGAGACGGGGCCGAGAGGGAGTTGTCCTTAGCCCTGGAATCATTCACTGTTTCAGATCACCTTGTCAACAGTGTGTGTGTGTGTGTGTGTGTGTGTGTGTGTGTGTGTGTGTGTGTGTGTCCGTCCCTTCTATTGCTGTTTCTTTACATTAATTTTTGGACCTACTATTATGCTCTGTCTTCTGCTGCTTGTGACTGAGCAGTTTTTTTCGTAGTGTTTGCTTGACTCTGAAGTTCAAGGCTGCCCACATCTTGCCTCCTTAATTTTCTGCCTTTGACCCAGAATAATAGACTCCTATGATTGGGAAGAGCCTTAAATGTTGACTCTACTAGCCAGTCAATACGACAAGGAGGGATGATACTGGGAAGCCTATAAGCTGCATCACTGCTTCTGGGGTTACTGCTTTCCCTTTATATAGAATAAACTGTGAAGAGGGGGATAATCAAGTCCACAGCACAGTTTTAAATGATGCTTAAATATAAACTTTCTTTAGTAAGCCATTTTACATCTCAGCATCTGTTATATTTACCCTCATTTATTTTCTGTTGAGTAAAAATCAGAAACTGCCTCAGTTAACATTCAAAATAGCAGGAAAGAAAGGTAGAAAAGACAAGGAAGTGGCTGGTATTCCAGGGGAATAGTATAAAAGAAGTCAATCTATTGACGATGGACAAAGTCCTTTGTGCAAAATGCCTTGCACAAAGCAGTGTTAGTTGGATGAGTCTAAAAAAAAAAAGACATACTACTGTAGGAGAGAGCAAAAGTTCCATATCTAAACAAGATTTTCTTTTTCCGAAGGACTTTTAATTTAGGCTCATTTCTATGATCTGAGACAATTATTTTAAAAATACAGTACTTGGCTAAAAGATTAGCATCATCCAATAGCAGTTTTTGGGATAAAGAGTAATACAAATCCACTAGATTACAGGTAAAAAAGATCTATAGGTGTGGTTAACTCTTAACATCTTTTAGAAAGGAAAAACAAGAGAGAAAAAAGGCTGGCCCAAAGTTCACGTGCAAATCAACACTAAGAAGGAGATTTATGTTTGGATGGAACAAAAATAAGGAGGGACAGTGCTGGGGAAGGGGAGGCTTGCTCGGGTGGAGGCCCAGTTGAGAAGGAAGGTTCTGATTAGCTAGATATCATTTTTTTTTTACTGCCTCAACTTTTACACTCCAAGATTCTCCAAAACAGTTTACATGAATTATAAAATGATCAACTAATTAGTTCCACTTAAATTTGTTTTTAAATACTGGATATTTTTGTGATATGAATTACTCTTTTTTTTGTATTTGTAGCTGAAATTTTAGTGTAAATAATACATTGTTGTGCTTTGTATAAAATCTGAATACTATAATTGATTGTATGAAATGAAACATGAGGCAGACCCCTTTCACTTTAATTAGTTGTGCTTTTAATCCATTCCTCTCCCTGTAAATAACCAATTATGCTGTCAGAGAGTACATAGTGATTTACAAAATATGAATGTTTTATATATATACATATATAAAAAGTGACTTTATAAATTAATTACATGAATAGATTACCTAATGAGATGTCAGCAATTTGTTTGGTTCAGTGGGTTAAACATTTTGTTTAATAGTAGGAAAAGGTCAAGGTGTGATGGTGCATGCCTATAATCCCAGAACTCTGAGGGGAGGCTGAGGCATCTCAAGTCAGGGCTAGCTTAAACTACAAAATCAGTGCAAGAAAAGCCTGGGCTATGTGGTGAGACCCTGTCACAGAAAGTAAGGACATAACTAAATAAAGTAGGAAAACAAATAAAAGGCAGAACTTCTACCCAGAACGGAGAATTCAATGCCCCGTATTTTTACTGCAAAGACATATTCATATTCAACTTTTAATGCAATTTCTTACATACTTGGTGAAATACTTGAAGGATAAGCAATCCGTGCTTTTTGTGGAGATCATGCAGTTTACGGTCAAGTTTTAGATAATACAATTTCCCCCTTACCCACTTCCGAATTATTATAGTTGAATTGCACATTGACTCATGTTGAGAACTTAGTTTTCAAAAGAAAAAAAGTGAAATTGGTTGTTTCATTTATTCTAAGAGTACTATAAAGACATTGTTCCTCTTATTAGCAGAATTTTCTTTTGGCTTCTATACAAGGAGTAATTGTACAACTGACGAGCAACTCTTCACTTCATTCCTCTCCATATGACCTTCTTTCTCTCCTATTAACTGCGGGAAGCTTAGGCCAGAGTCAGAGATCAGCCCCACCTTGCTGTTTTATATGAGATTTTCTGCATTCAGTCAGCAAACTGATGTCACTCTTGGCCTATTTTCTTTTCAGATACTCTCCCTGAACTTGCCCCTCAATTCTTTCCCATCATTCCTTTAAAGCATTTTGGAACGAGCTTCTGGGTGTAAACTGCATATGGAAATATGAAGCCTGAGGTTCCCACTTGCAGTATCACAGGGTGCTAAAGGACAGGGCTCCATGGCCAGATCATTTCTACTCATGTTCTTGCATCTCCCCAAAAAGCTATGCCACACAAGTCATTTCACCTCAGACTGAGTCTCCTCAATTTTACAGGAGGAGCAGAGAAATGTGCTCCCTCCTTATGTCCCTGGGAGTTTGAAAGTAAAGAATTCCACAGGAAGCTATGCACCCATCCATCACAGCTTCTGCTGTAGGAAACTCTGGATGATATCAGCAGAGCAGCAGTGCATCAGCTCTCTGAGGTTCTCCAAGTTACCACATTAATGAATTTGCAGCTTCAGTCCATAGACTTACAGCACAAAGAACAGTAAGGACCAGTCTAGCCATCTGTGTAAGCAGGAACCATTCCACAACATCCAAATAAAGACAAGCCTACATGTTCTGGTTCATAGAGCAATTTCCTTTGACATCTACTTGAAGAGAATTATAATCACTGCAAATGTTTCCTTAAATCTGTTAGTAACTTATTTTTTGTTTGTTTGTTTGTTTGGTTGGTTGGTTGGTTGGTTTTTCAGGACAGGGTTTCTCTGTGTAGCTTTGTACCTTTTCTGGAACTCACTTTGGAGACCAGGCTGGCCTCGAACTCACAGAGATCCGCCTGCCTCTGCCTCCCGAGTGCTGGGATTAAAGGCCACCACCACCCGGCTATAACTCTTATTTTTCCACATATCTTTTCCTTTTTTCTTGAAAACTTTTAGTTAAAAGTCTTATTTAATATTCAGCTGGGTGGTGGTGGCACATGCCCTTAACCCTAGCACTTGGGAAGCAGAGGCAGGCCAATCTCTGTGAGTTCTAGGCCAGCCTGATCTACAGAGCAAGGTCTAGAAAAGACAGAAGTGTTACACAGAGAAAGCCTGTCTCCAAAAGACAACAACAAAATATTCATGCAATTTCATATAATGTGTTTGAATCCAATCTACACTTCCAATTCTTCTACCTTTCCCTTCCAAGTTTTTGTGCTTCCTTCTCCTTTCTCTCTCGTTCACTCTCTGGATTGTTCACATCCATTGAGTTCATTTAATGCTGCCTATATGTGCATGGGTGTGGGACTGGAATTCCTAGAGAGTGAGCAGTCTCTCAGGGCCTGCAGGCCTGAAGAGAAGTGACTCTCCTCCTTCAGTAGCTAACCACTGTCAATAACTCCTAACATAGGGGTGGGACTTCGTGAGCTCATTCCCTATTCATGCTGGGAATTTGTCTGGCTTAATATTTTGCATGTTTTGTTCATGCAGTCCCAACCACTGTGAGCTACTGTGTCTATCTGCCACATCCATCAAATACTATTTCACTGCAGACACACTCCCCCTGGCTCTTATACCCTTTCTGCCTGCCCCACTTCCATGATGAGCCCTGAGCCTTTGGGACACCAGTGTAATATGGCCGCCCTATTTCGATCTGTGCACTCCGTGGTCTCTTTCTTTGCAAATGGACTGGTGGTTGGTTTACAACTAATATCAGCCTCCTAGGCTGACTGTTCTTCAATGATAACTTTATTTTCAAGAATGCAAACTCTTCCTACTCTGAAAATATTACATTTAAAATCTGAGCAATTATAATATTGTTAGCATGCACTTAAGAGCTCAAAAGTTGCTTTTGATAAACACAGTTTGGAAAAGGACTGGAATCCAAGGAAGGATATCCTCACTGTCAGAAGCGCCATCTGCCAGCTAAGACTTCCTCCTGAATAACTCTGTAGGCTTCTTCCAGAATTCTCCAAGTTCAGGAACCGATGTCTGTCCTCACTCTGGATATCAGGTCTGCATGTGTGAAATGATCAGAATGAAATAAATGTTCCCTCAATGCTGGACATTGTGAAAATAAGCCATGACTTCATTTCCACAGTGAGGTTGCCTGACCTTTTGTTTATCAGAACCTCCACCAGGGGGTGCAGAGGGCTCAGAAGGAGAAAATGAAATGAGGTTGTGTGTGTTAACACTGAAATCCAGGTTAAATGGCTCAAAAGGTGCAATTGACAATTGAGATACTTGGTATTTATAATTGGCTTTAAGTTATGCGGACCATCTTAAATGGAAAAGAATAGAAATGGAGATTTTTATTTAAAGAAAGATGAAATGCTCCATATTCCTAGCTAGGAGCTCAGGTCAAGCGTCTAAAACAAGAGTTCCTGTTTTGTTTTGGGGTTAGGACAGCATAGCTTAAGTAGCATACTATGTTTTTAAGATTTTTTGCAATCAGTACTTTAGAATTTTATGACTACAAAAGATATATATATATATATATATATATATATATATATATATATATATATATAAATTGTAAAAATACCACACGACCTCAAAGGATATAATTTACATGTGATAATTTATGTCTCTATGAGACCAACTAGACTCCTTATGTGTGAACTGGCTCCTGCTTTACACGGGTGGTTTGATTCTTATTGTCATTTTTTGTGCTCAGCTGGTAACGTATTCACCACACAAGCACTTGCACCTGACCTCGGTCCACAGAACCAGTAATGAGAGATCATGTCCGCTTCTAAGATGTGCCTCCGATGATTTTCAAGATCATGTGCTTATACTCACTTTGCTCAGGATCCATTTGTTTGTTTGTCTGCCGTTTGGTTTTTCTAGCCCGGGTTTCTCTGTGTAGCTCCGACTGTTCTGGGACTCACTCTGTAGACCAGGCTGGCCTGGAACTCCCCCGATGGCTGGGACTAACGGTGGAGTGCCACCACGACTCGGCCTCTTGGGCACCTTTTTAATGTTACATTTGAGTCTTCGTTTTTTCTCTTAGCCACTTGTGTTTATGAACTGTTCTAGCAACTGCAGGTATCCAAAACTGAAAACCGAAAACGAATCTCAAATTCAAAGTTCAAAAAAATCAAAATTAAGTCAAATTCTGCCTCACTGAAATCTTTTTTGTCTTCTAAGTTGGGGAAAAAAAATCCATGGTGTTATGTCACACATGACTTCTGACTACCGTCATGGAACACCAGGTGCACCACCTCCTGGAGGCTGCTGGGAGCCATAGTTGATGAATGCTTTCAAGCTCAAAATGACTTTAATGTGGCCTGAAGATAACAAGACTAAAAACGGCTGCATCTCCGAAGCTGATCAGGCTCTGGGTTCCAGTCATTCATATGGCGCATGCTGAGGAAGCCATGACAACCTCTGTGTATTGAGGTCTTTAAAGAAGTCTCTTGGCATTCAATGTACCCTACTTCCCCGAATAGAGGGGAACTCTGAATTGAATAATATATGCATGGTCACACCCTAGAAGTTAATCCCAGAGATTATAAACCCTCCTCAGGGAATTTGAATTACAAAGGGCTCTACTCTGGGTATCTGAGAAAAGCAGAATGAGAATGGTAGGATGATTATCTGCCTAACACCTCTGGCATTTTGATCCTTAAAATCCTCCACACTAACTTCTCCATGCTTAAGACAAGACTGGGAGGAAGGAGGAACAGTGGGTGGTATGTAAAGTGGAAAAAAAAAACAAAACACTTTAAATAAACAAGTAGACCTTGGGGGGGGGGGTGTCTATCTGCTTTTAGAATCGAAGCTATTGCAATGAAGCATTTTCTTTGCACGTCTGTCTAGTGGTTTCCAACTTCCCTGTCTTCTCAGGACCTTGAATGAAGTAGACATGGGGAAAATATTCGCTTAGTCTATTGGGGACAGATCTGTAGGGCCCTGAGCAGCCGAATATTATAGGAAAATAGATGTGTTGAGTATAAAGTTTAAAGCACCAAAGAATAGTCTTTAGCTGTGTAGAATTAGACACTTATGCTCTTTCTTTATTACTAGGTGTGTAAACTATGATAACCAACATCCTGATGGCTGGTATATCTGGTAAGGATTTCCTCAGATTGTTTTATAAAACGTTTGGTCTCCTAGATAATTTGAAACAGCAAGTGCAGTCAACAGCTGCAGGGAAATTTAGGGGAGTGTGAGTCAACAGCTGTAGAAATATCAATATCAGGACAGTATTTGGTAAACGCCTCCTGTGATAAAGAGTCTATTGTTTTCCAAGACTGAATTTATTCTATAACTCGAGTTTGTTAATGATAAAATAATTGTCCCCTCTTGAAATCTTGCTAAATTATTCTTCCACTTCTGGTGGTAAAACCCATTCAACATAGCCAAATGTGTCTTTAATGAGATACTCCTCCAGAAAATTTAAAACAGTTCTTCTAATTCCCTAAATCACAACTTTTGTACCTTCCAAACTTAACACTAAGCAATTCTGTTAATAAAATACTCAATTCCTCAAAGGCAGAGACACTGTCTTTTCTATCTTGAATCCTTAGCCCCAATATCTCAGATATTTACATTTGTTTAAATGCTAATTAAGTGGATAGAATGTTGAATAAAAAGAAAAAAAACGGAAAAAAGAAGGAAGCAGAGAAGACTTCACTTTTTAGATTAATCTTCTAGTTTTCAAGGAAGAAATGATTGTCACCAACTATCAGTACCAACCCTGCCTGAAGACCTCCAGTTGCACTGGCAGGGTAGGATGGTAGTGGATTGCCCCACGAACTCGGCATTTCGGTTTGCTTGCACTTAAGCTTAGCTGAGTCCTTGCATACTTCCCCGGCACCTCCAGAAACTCCAACTCCTACATGCTCCACCTCATTCTCCCCCATTACTTTTGCGGCCAGGTTCCTACTGCTGATTTTCTTGGCGGTTCTCCTCTGTGGAGTTGTGCTTCTCTGTCTCCAGTGCTGGCTGAAAAGGTGCCGAACTGACTCTCCCAGACGCACCGTGGCTGTTTTTGCTGTTGGAGACTTGGATCTCATTTATGGTGAGTTGTCTGCATACTTCTGGATTCCTCTATGAAACATTGAAAAACTATCATTGAAAGCACATTTATACACTTATAAAAAACGCATACCTATTTGGAGACTCGAAGACATGTATTAAAGAGAGACCATACAAGAAGAAAAGAGACAACAGAGAAGAAATATGCCTCACTGACTCACAGAGAATGGCAAAAGAGGCTAAGCAGTTTTTTCAATCAGCAAATGAAGAGTGTTATGCCCAGATCATGGCGACCCCAAAAGACCACCACAGAGACTGAATCTCGTATGTAAAATCAAAGAGCCTTTATTCAAGCCTGCTCGGTTTTGGACCCTCAGTGAGTCCGACTCAGGGGTAGGATTGGAGAGTTGGGGGCCAGGCAGGGAGGGGTTTTTAATCATAGCAGAGGTTGGGGGGTGAGGAAATTTCCAGGGTTCAGGGCCCTGAAAGGCTAGGGACATCTTGGTAAAAGGGAAATGGATGTGTGCCTGGGCTAAAGGACACTGGGTGATATCTTATAATGGTAGGAATGGAACGTTTGGAATGTCAGGTATTTCCTCTTAGATGCTGGCCCTCCCCGGGTGGGGTCAGTTTATGGCCTTTCCTGGGGACTGGGTGGTACCTGCCAGTAAGCTTGTCATGGCAGCTGTGTGATCAAGCTGTTTTGGGACCCCCACAAATAGAAATTTGAGGAAATGAACACTTCAAGTGAGTGGTAGGGCTTACAGTTCAGAAGAGCATCTCTTGGCTTTGATGTCCCTGGATCCTATGCCGTAGTTCGAATCTTAATCATTAAGCCTTTGCCAACTCATTTAACTCACCGGAAGTGACACTGAGCCATATTTTCTGAAGTATCAGTTGCCAGTGCAGAGTCTGAAACCATCAGCATCGGGCAGACGAAAGTCAATAGTGGTGTACTTTCTCTGCAGAAACACCAAGGAATCCCGAATCCGCTGGCACTCATCTTGTCTATCCCAAATCATGCCCTGCCCATCATCTTCCAGTTTTCATTTAGGGTTAAAAAAAGGAAAAAGAATTATTTGTATCAGTCAGTAAGCCGAGTGGAAACCACTTATCTCTTGATTGTTTCCAAGTGGCTACAATTGATAATCCTTTCTTAACCCTTAAGCACAGTCCTTTCACCCAGAGATGGTGAGATTTTTTCCCTCCTAGATTTTACTTTACCACACAGTTACCCAAAGAGTTCTTGATAAAAACTAACTTAACTACCTTTCAGAAACTTGGGCCAATGTGGAATTTTCGATATATAAAATAGAAAAGCAAACAACTATGTTGAAGGAGTAAAAAATAAGCTAAGAGGATTTAACTTGAACATGTAGTGCTCTTGAGATTTAGTGATTCTTAAGCATCTTTGGAGTGTTCAGACACAAAGGGGGACATCGACATCACCCCCTCCCAATGTTCAGGGATCACTGCAGAAGAGAGAGCCAAAAGATCACCAGCCAGAGGCCAGGAAGGACCAGAACCAAACAGTGTCTTCTGGGCACAACAGGACCACCGCACTCATCAACTCACAAGCGCTGTGGTTGCCTGCACAGGACCCTGCTCCTAGATGGGGAGCTGTTGACAGTTAACAGTTTCAAAGGGTGTGGTCCCTGGTAGGCCAGTCATGCTCCAGGGCATGGTCTCCTCCCACAGGCAGCACAAAAGAGACTCACTCGGTGGGTTAGTAAAAAAAATAAATAAATAAATAAATTTTTTTAAAAAGGATAAAAAGTTGAAAGTACGTAGTGAGGGAGATGTGGATCTGCAAGTGGGTGGGGAGGTGGGGGTGGACTTGGGAGCGGTTTCCACAAGGAGTTAGAGTAATTATTATCATGTACAGATGAATGCAATTATCAAAGAATTAACAAAAACATATTAAAAAGAAAAATATTTAGTGATTCTTTTTGTTTATATGCTTCTCAGCATGAAGTCATTACTTAACAAGGAAAAGACACTATCAACCTGAGAAATTGTTGTTTGGGGAAGGATAATTAAATTCTACAATAAAAAAAAATAGATTTTTCTCCTAAAATAAAAATTACTTTTCATGTGGCATCAAGGGAATTAGGGTCACTAACCTAACAAAATGTTTGTCAAAGGGATATGCATGGAAGTATTGATCTCCTTTTCTTTATTTAAATAGAGTTAGTTAATAAATGTAATGTTCTTTCTTCCGAGTAAGCTTTTATTCCTAAAGAAGAGCACACAGCCTTATTGTCTCGACTCTTCCCTCCCTCGGAGGAGAACACTTCCATTAGGCTACCTTCAACCTTATGAAAAGTCTCCTGTATATTCAACATCATACTGCCTGATGATTCTGTTACAATTCTGTTACAAGACTGCTGCTCTAGCCATCCTTGTGTGGTGTTCTTGGCGGCTCACATATCTGCTATTGAATTTTCTTGTACAGCCTCAGAGTTGGGGAAGAAAAACATTAAATCTAACACATAACAATAATATGCATAGATGTCTCGAAGACCTGAGCCTTAGAATTACAAGCTCTGTATTAGGCTGAAGTCATTATAAACATAAATAAACAAATACCAGAAAGAAACTGTCTTCTAAAAAAGCTAATATTTATTTCGGTTCTACCAAGTCCTGAGCGATAGTTTGAGACTTTTCCAACCTTATCTCTATTTCATAAATGTCATCTCCAGAGAGTGCTCATCAGTTCTCTTAGAGAAGATCTGTCTGCCCCCCCACCCCCTAGTTAATATATTAGTAGAGCTTTGCTATGAAATGGGGATAGTTAGCTATACAAATTAGGTGTGAGTGCTCATATCCTAGCCAACTCATCCCATGATACATCTCAGCATTCAGATATTTAAAGACCTATCCCGGATGGTAGGGATTATATTATAGAATCTTAATTCTTGCCATTTTCCAGCCTTTCTTCCCAAGCCGGCTAGTAAAGCTTCTGGTTCTTACTTTTAAAGAAACACTTAAACCCTCTTGCGATGTCTCTTCTGCTGCTGTGTATTGTGGAAGACACTGGGCTCGGCTGCTTCTTCTCAAGGATATTTCTCTAGCCAGCTCAGAGCGGGCAGAAAGCAGCCCTACCTTCTTCTGCCCCTCCCCCAGCCTGTCCGAGTTGCTCACCTTCCTGAGAAGGCCGTCTTTGATGCAAATGTTGACCTAGAGCTGTGCCTTTGGGCCTTCTTATTTCTGTTTTCAGGAACAAAATACAGGAAAGTAATTTAGACAGTGCATTCTCTGTCATTCTAGGGAGTGCCAACTAGCAATTTCAGGAAGTAAATTCCAGAGAATTGATATTTTGGGACAATTTGCTGCCTGGACCCACACTGTATTTACATAGTAGATAAAACTGTAATTGTATTTTCACACTCTGAACACGTCTGTTATGTTTCTTCGTATTTACTCTCCCAGGAAATAAAAACCCTTCTTGATCCTGAGGTTCCTGCAAGATCCAGGAAGGATCAAAACAACCATACCTATCTCTACAACTCCTACAAATCATGTGCTCACAGCCGTAGCCCGAGCCTTAGCCTGAGCCCTAGCCGGAGCCCTAGCCCGGGTCCACACTGAGTGATTCATGGGCCTACTCCGAGGTTATGGGAGTGCATTTTTCAGTTTTCCTGACATCCACTATTAAGAAGAGGGAATAAATAAATAGAAATCACATAAACGACACTGATGAGCAACTAGAATACAGAACAGGGCTCCTGACTCTCTGCCATCTCTGACACACAGAGGATGTTCCCCGTGGACACAGGATGTGGGAAGTAAGCCACTGGAAACATCTTAATGGCCACAGTACAACTGCTGTATTAACCTCCATTTCCTCCTGGACCTTTATTTTATCTTTTTAGAAGTTATTTCACTTTAATATCACTACTTATTGCATATATTAATTGAAATTGCTCTGTCATTCTGACATAAGGGGCAGAGGTTTCACTCTCAGGATCTCACAAACATTGCCCTCAAGAACGAAAAGCCAAGAAGAAAATTTTTTATGATTATTAAAGGCTGGAATTGATTGAACTTTACTACTACAAAAATGTATAAAATAGGCAATTTTATACACATGCATTTCCTGCCAATGTTATATCGCTCAGGTTGCCAATTTGTTTGATTAGAAATACTAAAGAGAAGGAGAGTAGGCACAGGGCTCTGTGTCCATATATATACACAGTGTACTTAAGGAGGGTGTTGTCAGCACAGTCCATAGCGACGTCTGATGAGATGCCAACTCTGAGAAATGTCCCTGGGACCCTGGTGAAACACTGCAGACCCCGGGAGCATCTCGTGGCTCAGTGATGGCATCTTTTCACAGCACTCTGTTGACTCAGTGCTCAGATAAACAAATACTACCTACTTCCCCCCAACACCTATGCCCTTGAATGAAGTCGTCTAGAGTCACAAGCCCCCTATGTAGCCACTAGGTCCAACAGAAGAGACCTTGACATTTATTGCACTCGATCTTCCCTTTTGTGTCCATGCTTGCTATATATGTTCATTATTCACGGGAGAGGAAGAAATAATCCCTCTGTTATAGCTTGCTGTGAGCCTCTTTGTGTACCCATTAAATTCATCTTATCAGGTCCTATTGTGTAGCAGTAACGCCCGCGTTACCAATACCCGTTCACCATGTCTGAGCGAAGGGCTGCGGATTAAAGAATAGAGACAAAAGACAGCGAGTCATTCGTACGATTGGATGTCGAATGCCGTTTATTGAAAGAGGGAAGAAACCTTAAATACGTACAGGCTTACAGCACAAATGGAGGAACCCCCGGAGGGCAGAAGTTCGCTGTCAATGGTCTACATTCCAGACTCAATGTTCTACAATCTAGCATCTAAGTAGTTAACGCCCCAAATGCAGGATACACAACAAGGAACTTCCCTCAAGCATTCAGAAGGGTGGATACCGGCAGGGAATCCGAATAGGGAGGACATCTGATCAAGGTCAAGCAAGCAAGGCCGCAGCCACTCCCAGTCGGGGGCCAGGGCCCATGGCGCCCACACTATTGGTTTGTTGTG